CAAACGGTAGATTCGGCCCGCACCACTGCGTCACATACGCCGTCAACGCCTTCTTCGGGCCGGACATCGGCTCCTTCTCCGAGTGGCTGACCTCAACCCTGGGTTTGGGCCGGGCATTCGGATCCTCCGTCGAGACGTGGATTCACGACCCGTTTTACTACGCTCTGATTCTGGGCTTCCCTTTGGCACTACTCTACAGCTGGGTCTCACGAATTATGGTCCCAAAGGGCGTTCTTGATTCGTTCTCTGGGGTCAGTGTGTTTAAAGACTTGAGTTTTGATTGAGCTAGCTTTTGACTGTCTGTAATGAAAAATTTTCTCTTTTGTCGTTGGTTTTGCTCAATTTAGTTGCTGTCTCTGAAATTCAGTGTGTACATTTATTGATTGCTTAGTTTTGGGAAGTTGCCAAGTTGTTCATTTTAAGAATTTGGATGGATTTCACCAGTGCCCACATTGGGTTCGAAACCGTCGACACCAACCCGTGCCGGTGCGAATAAACTAGTGATAGTATGGGGTTTAGAAAGATTGACATTTAGGGGAACATTTGGAGACAAATAGATAATGGGAATCATATATGCAATTCGTGTTTTGTTTGACTTCATGTAAGTTTCTTATCTTTGTTGAGTGAGCCTGTGGAAATAAGACTTCAAATAAGTTGCTGATTGGATTAAAACGGACTAGCTCGATTTCTGGGTTTAGAGTAGTTCCTGAATATCCAGTTGTTATGCTTGTATTACATCCTAAGCATGGTGGTAGATTCGTGTAGATATACTTGTAGTTTTTGTTTATCGGTTTGTACACATCAAATCCTCCTGTTGGATAGCTTGAAGCTGATTTAGATTAAGCTATGGAGTTAAGGTTTATGACTAGTGAAGTATACTTCCTCTCTGCCCAGAAGTAGTTCTATTACAAGCTGTATTAAGTCTACTGAATTAACTGTGCTTGAAGATGAAAATCAAAAATACCTTTTCCTAATGCATTTTGCTTGTTCTTTTATTATTCGTCATCGGGTTGAAGTACATTTCACCATGAAAGAGTTTATTATATTTTGAGTTGATTAATGATGAATGAAAATTTTCTGGTTCAGGCACCACTGACTAAGAGGCAGTGCTTCTTGTTGATCTTTGCAGGATCTTTATCACACTTTTTCTTAGATCACTTGTTTGAGGTAATACAGTTAATATGCCTGTTCTTGCTGTTGATCTGACTTTATTGGTACAATACTCATTCCATGGTATTTCACTATTTCGAACCAAATTACAACATTTACTGTTCTTTATTCGGGTTGTTTTGAGTGTTTAGCTCTTAAACTGCACCTTTTTCTTTAGAGTTTTTCATGTCTTGATGTACCTGTAACTCTTAGAAGCTCTGTCAATTTACTTCTTCTGTATGGTTAAATAATTTCTCAGGAAAACGGACATTCTTCAATGTATACATGGATATTGAGCACCGGTTGGTGGAAAAATCGTGCTCCAATTGATCCAGATGCCATTGTAGTTATTGGCCTCTTGTGCGCTAGCTTGATTGGAGGTTTTATTTATATCTACAGGTTTAAAAAAAAAAAGAAAAAAAAAAAATCATCATTTAAATTTTAGAATTGGTGAAGTAGATGTGTAGTTTAACTTGCTACTTGTCTTATAGGGTGAAGCACTTGAAATCGGTTAAAAAACAATATAGCAAATCATGGAGACTGATTTTGATAGTCGCGATCTTGTACTGCATTTGGTGTGTGAGCCAGATTTACTTAATTACCCCTCGTCGGCCAGCGGTTGGTGAGGAAGCTGATTTGGGAGTGCTCGTTTTCCTTGGGATTTTCTTTTTCTTCCCTCACGGGCTGTGCATTCTATCCATGAACTCGAAAGATGTTATCGACTCGGTCGAACAACTTCCTCTTTGACAAGGTAATCTAATCTATCTGTCACAATCTCTGAGCTGTCCAAAGGGTCGGGCCGGGCTGGGCTGGGCTGGGCCCACCCAGGGCAAGGAATATATCTGTGTATACAAAAGTTTGTTTGTAAGAAAAACCAGGAGCTGTGTATCCTGCTGGTTCTTCTTGTTTGTTTGTTTAAATGGCCTCGAATTGTGCAATGAGAATACTAAAATGTGTGTAGTTTTGCATTACAATCCATCGAGCATCGAATTTGAGGTCTTAAGCTCGAGCTCGATTTGTGTCAAGACCATTGCTTTGTTACCGGGCTTCAGTGGGGCCGTGGGCTCGCGGCTTCTTATATCTGAGTCTATGATTAGTAGAATCCAACTCTACATATACATATTATTATACATATTGATAAGGGTATATTTCATACTTTAGAAGCTAATCTACCTAATATATCCATCAGTTTTTTGGGGTCTTCACAGCTTATTCTGGTTACAATTTGCCATGGCTTCATTTTCCTTTTGTTTTCGTGGATTTGAGATGCCAACCCATATCTGGCATGTCCGTTTTTGTCGGACTTCGATTTGACCCGGTTTTCGGGCTTGTTTCCATATTTGATAAATTAAGATAGTTTGTAGGGTGATTTTTAATAAATTAAAGTTTCTGGGATATAATTGCAAAATGGTGAAAATGGAAAAAGTTTGTTTTTGTACTGTGGCTGATTAGGTGAATGTTGGTTGGTACATGGCCACAATGTGAAAGCTTTCACCTACAAATTGCAATGTCACGTGAACTTAACCCGACCACACAGAAACTCACCCAATTGCCCACAAAAATAAATAAATAAAATAAAATAAAAACTATTACATAGTAATATTGTATTTTGAGTGGATGATTAGTGCAAATCTCATTAAGATAATTCATAATTTACCAATAAAAGCTACTTTATAGCATATTTTCTAATTTCAAAATTGATAATTACAGTTCCAAATAAGTGGTCCAATCACAAACAATGGTTTAATAATTGTTTAAACGCTAGTTTAGTGAACATAAGTACAAACTAGACAAGCTGCTTTTGATATGTTCCCTTTTGTTGTGTATGGGCCTCCTTACTTTCCTGTGGTTAGGTGTAATTAATCATTAATTATGTGAGTAATTTGAACTTTTGAAAAATATAAAAGGTGATGATAGCCATCAAAATTTAAAAATGTGGGGGACTCAATGATAAGAAACGAGAAATGCTACAGTCTCGTTACGGAACCATTCCGTTGGAATTTGTATCCGTTAGATTATCATGTATCCGTCGTGGATAGTTGATCTAACGGTTACAAACCCTGACGGAATGATTCCATAACGGGACCGTAGAAACTCCCTATATATTAATTAAAGTTCGACACTAAAAATGTATCCTACCACCATCAACTCTGTAAACTATTATAGATTTTTTAAAATTAAATTGATATAACCAGAAAAATATTTTTACTCTTATCATCAAATAGAATCAATAATTTCACAATAAAATCACGGTTTTACATGTAAAAGGAATGTCACAATAATTTTATTGCACATCTACAAATAAGGATTTTTTTATTCTTTTTTGGTTAAGTCTAATATAATACTCCCTCCTATTTTTTTTAAATGTCATTCTAGCTTTATCAACTATTTGCTACATAAATGTCGTTTTGGATCTTTTGTACATATTTTTCCATTATTACTCTCATTTAGCTAATAAATACATTACGTCTTTTCATATTCACTCTTCACTTTTTCTCAAAACATTTATCCCTCTCTTCATTAAATAAGGTTATTATTGACAAAAAAAATATTCTTAATTAATGTGCAACTTTTCAAAACGACATCTATTATAAAAATAGGAGGTAGTGCATTATATGCCAATTTAAGATTTATATTTCATCCACGTTTTCACTAATAAGTACGGTGGGCCTTTACATTATGTGGAGGGAGACAATTACCTAAGAAAAGGGGAAAAAAAGAATTTAATTCGAAAAGGGCCAAGGTGATAATAATTGCTAGCATTAATAATTTTAATTAATCAAGCCGAAATAAATAATAATAAAAAAAAAAAACTTAAATTCAAATTTAGATAAATCATCATATGTATAAATAGATACTATTTTTGTTGTGTATAGAGCTCTCAATTTCTGTTGTGGTTGGTGTAATTAATCATTTATGGTAATAATTAAAAATTAAGCAAAAAAAAAGGCAATAGGTATCATGATTTACAAAAATATGGGGGACTCATATATATACCCACCACCTACTAGGCAAACAAATGTAGAATTTATTCTATTTAAAAATGATCAAATGATTTATTTGTTTTTTACTCTTATCATCATTAGAATCAAGAATGTCACAATTAAATCAGGATTTTACATGTTAAATAAAAATGATTGGTATGTCAAAAGAATTTTATTGCACATCTATAATTTTAAGATTTATTTTACATCCATGTATTTATTTAAAAAAACAGCACTCAGTCTTCCCTACAAAATAAAGATACAGGGAAGATGTTACGGTCTCGTTAAAGAACCATTAATTCCGTTGGGATTTGTAACCGTTAGATCAATTATCTCTGACGGTTACATAATGATCTAACGGTTACGAACCCAACGGAATGATAACTATATCCTAGCATACAATTATCCAATTAAGATTTATTTTACATGCATTCATTTAAGAAACACTCGTCTTCACTACCAAACAAATCCAGACACTGATAAGTATGGTGGACTTTATTTTTTTACGTTATATATGGACGGACATCATTACCTAAAAAAAAGGGCAAAAAGAACTCAAGTCAGAAAAGAACAAACTGGCCTACGTAGGACATTTGACAATCAAGTTTGAACTGTAGTTCGTGTTTTGAGCTCATTTAGAAGCCTCAACCATGTTAAGTTTACGAGTTAGATTCGACTCGATAAGACTCAAAATAAGATTTTTTTATTTTTTTTTATCACTTTATATTGTTCGGCTCGTTAAGGCTTAAGTTTGAATCGCTAATATTAAACATGCGGAACTCGAACTCGATCGATTATTGGCTTATTTGGTTAGCGAAGTGAGTTCGGGTTGCCTCGTTTACACCCATGTAATTGCTGACAATTCGATTTACGAATACGATATATGAGTGTGTTTGGTAAGTACCGTATGCTCGCTTATAAACTTCTTACATTCAAATAAACTTGGTTTGATAAGATGAATTTAGGAATTCGAGTTTATCTCATAAACTTTCTTCGATAGTTGCCGTTGAGATTATTATTTCAACTAGCTTATCAGCTAATTTTACCAAAAACTTTTATCATATAAGTTAGTTTTTCTACCATAAGTCATAAACTATCGACTATAAATTCGAAACTCACTTATAAGTCATCAGGTAGCTTATCAGCTAAGTTTACCAAACAGAAATATACCAGACTTTAAAGACATACTTATAGACACAGTCACACATGACAACACAATTCAAAAATGGATGCAAACAACATAAAATGAAAAAGTTTATCAGTTATAGGTTTATACTTATATATCTAACATATATGTTTTAGTTAAATAAAATAGATAATACAGAAGCAAGAGAAAACACGTTTTGCCACCCACCTTGAGTGAGCTTAAAAGGCTAAAACCATACTCCATTTTTGTTCCAATTAGACTGGAAAGAGGTGAAAAGGGAGTTTTGATCAAGAAAAACCATGGCAGCTCGCAGGATTTCTTCCTTGTTCTCTCGCTCCTTCACCCTTTCATCTTCTCTTGGTGAGAAAAACTAACCCATCTCTCACACTTTTGTTCCCATTAATCCATTCTAGGTACCTTTTATTCTTCATTTATGAGAAAAATAGTTCAAAGATCATGTCTTATTGATGTATTTATTGTGACAAATAGTATAAAGATCATGTCTTTTTTATGTATTTATGTGAAGAGTAGTGTAAAGATCATATCTTTTTGATGTATTTATGTGAAAAGTGGCTTAAAGATGGTATATTTTTGATGTGTTTATGTGAAAAATAGTGTAAAGATCATGTCTTTAGGATGTGTTTATTGTGAAAAATAGTGTAAAGATCATGTCTTTTTTATGTATTTATGTGAAAAGTAGTGTAAAGATCATATCTTTTTGATGTATTTATGTGAAAAGTGGTTTAAAGATAGTATTTTTATGTATTTATGTGAAAAATAGTGTAAAGATCATGTCTTCAGTGTTTTCAGGTCGGCTGGTCGAACCTGGTCGACCAGGGACCGACCAGACGATTAATCGTGATTAATCGTCGACCAACTAGATTAATCGGGCTGGTCGAGCCTGGTCGTCCATCTGGTCGTCCAGGTATTTTAGGACATATCCTCTATATATATATATACCTCTATGTATACTATATTATAGACAATAAAGGAGGCGAGAGGGCTCCCTGTTTGTCCCTGCTGCTCCAGACTCACAGAGAGGAGGCGAGAGAAGGGGAAAAGCGCGGGGAAGGGAGGAACTCGCGCGGGAAGGGAGAAAAGTGAGCGCGGGAGACGGGGAAAGTGGAGTGTGGGGGAAAGAATTGCAGCCGTCAGCTGTCCCTGGCTGCCTCCTTCCTATATATATCCTAACCCTAACAGGCCCAACAGGCCAAGCCCAGCAGCCCACATACCAGCCCAAAAAGACAAATAAATGTCCTGGTCGTCCATATGCCCTGGTCGGACGATTAATCGCGATTAATCGTCGATTAATCGTCGATTAATCGGACGACCAGGTTTCTGGTCGAGCTGGTCGGGTCGGACCTTCTAATCGAGCACTTGGGAGCGACCAGGACGATTAATCGCGATTAATCGGACGACCTGAAATCAATGCATGTCTTTATGATATATTATGTGAAAAATAGAGTAAAGATCATATCTTTTTTATGTATTCATCTGTTTTCTTGGATATGTATTTAGGTGTGAAATATGGGTTGGGAAGCAGAACTAACAGATTTATTACAAGTGCTGCTGTTCTTGAAAAGCCCATTACACCACCTGTTCAAGTTAATCACACCAAGCTTCTGATTAATGGGCAGTTTGTGGACTCAGTATCTGGTAAGTATGTTCTCTAGTTTTTCTATTAAAAAGAATAATAATAATTATAATAAAATGAATGATTTTTTATTGTGGTTTTGGTTTTTTTTTTGGAGTTTATACAGGTTGTTTATGATGAACCAAAATCAATCTTTTAGTTCACATTTGAATGATAAAGTCTAAGAGTAGTTGAGAGTTGTTTTGCAGCTAAAGTTGAATTAATCTATGGTGACTGTGGTAAATAATTAATGTTCTTGAATTGCTTGTTTCTTTTGAAAAGTCATAAAAATTTGAAATAAGAACTAGATTACTATTAATGATATTAGGCAGTATGAGAAAAATTAAAGAAGTTTGACATTTTGAACAACTTGAAAGTATCATTTTATGTTTGCAGGGAAAACATTTCCTACATTGGACCCCCGCTCGGGAGAAGTCATCGCGCACATTGCTGAAGGCGATGCTGAAGATGTCGACCGGGCCGTATCAGCAGCCCGGAAGGCTTTCGACGAAGGCCCGTGGCCGAAAATGAGTGCTTACGTATTTACTCTTGTGGCCCGCTTTTCCATTTCAGTTCTGTGTTTGTTTCTTGAATTTGAACTAGTTAGTTAATCTTCGTTTTGTTGCGCGAATGGTGATTTAGGAAAGGTCCCGAATAATATTGCGTTTTGCTGATTTGGTCGAGAAGAACATGGAAGAGCTTGCCCAACTCGAGACATGGGACAATGGAAAGCCGTATCAACAAGCTCTTTCGTCCGAGCTTCCCATCGTCGTTCGACTTTTTCACTATTATGCCGGTAAAGAAAGAAAAAAAGAAAAGAAAAGAAATAAGGAACTATATAGTTTTCGAATTTTCTTGTAAAATTTGTTCTTGAGTCGAATCTTTATTTTTGCAGGGTGGGCCGACAAAATTCATGGGCTAACCGTGCCCGCCGATGGGCCCCACCACGTTCAGGTTCTGCACGAGCCTATCGGTGTTGCCGGACAAATTATCCCTTGGAACTTTCCGCTTCTAATGTTCGCGTGGAAAGTGGGACCCGCGCTCGCCTGCGGCAACACCATTGTCCTGAAATCCGCTGAGCAAACACCGTTGACTGCTCTTTATGCTGCGAAACTGTTTCAAGAGGTTTCTTGTTTTTTTTTTTTACTAGTTCACTCATTATTATGGTTTTTTTCTACCGTGCTTTCAATCTTAGCTACTGTCACGTTTTTTCTTTCCCCGACTTTTAACCAGGCGGGCCTACCGGACGGTGTTCTTAATGTGGTGTCCGGTTATGGCCCAACTGCCGGTGCAGCTCTCGCTAGTCACATGGACGTCGACAAGGTATATATTTATTTTTAAATAAAGAACAATTTCTTTTTATATAAAATGCTCCATAAATGTTCAAACTTTAAAATGGCTCTCTAAATGCTTTCTATAGCTAGCTTTCACGGGCTCCACGGACACTGGTAAGATCATACTTGAGCTGGCTTCCAAAAGCAACCTGAAGCCCGTAACACTCGAGCTCGGAGGCAAATCACCGTTCATCATATGTGATGATGCCGATATCGATAAAGCTGTCGAGCAAGCACATTTTGCTCTTTTCTTTAATCAGGTGAACTAATATATGATTAATTTGAATATTTGGATGGAATCAAATTAAGTATCATGTTCTGTTGTTTGACTTCAGGGTCAATGTTGCTGTGCGGGTTCTCGTACGTTTGTTCACGAACGTATATACGATGAATTTATCGAGAAGGCTAAAGCACGTGCGGTCAAACGTACAGTTGGTGACCCGTTCAAGACAGGAATCGAGCAGGGGCCACAGGTGCTTAAGTTTTACTAACAAAGAATCCTTTTTTTTTTTTTTTT